GGGGGTATGGGGTGTTTGGGGGCGAAGGGGGGTTCCCTTCATTTTGTTCACAAAGGGTGTGGAGCTGTACACTTTCGCGGTTGTTGGAGGATATGACAAGCCAAGACAGAGAAGGCGAAATCACGTGTCACCGTCGACGACGCCTTTTTCCACTGAGCGAAAATGACATTGTGGCCGCTCCGTGTGAGGAAGGAGTGTCCACTCCTGCGAAACCCAACCCGCATAAATGCAGTCCGCAGGAGGGTGTTTCTTGTACAGAAGCCCGCTCGCCTGCTTCGCCGTGGCTCTTGTATTCCTCTTGCTGTGCGCGCTGCACCGTGTCTGGAGGGTGTTTCCCGCACAGAAGCCCGCCGCGCATGCTCCGCCATTGTAGCCATCTGGAGACGTGGAGAGCGGTCGTCATTCTTCTCGGAGCGGGTCACACTCACCGCCACGCCTGCAGACCACCGCTGTAAAGCTTCTCGCCGCGGAGCAATCTCGCCACGCTACGTCGCCCTTCTCGCCGTAAAGCTTCTCGCCGCGGAGCAATCTCGCCGCGCTACGTCGCCCTTCTCCCCGTAAAGCTTCTCACCGCGGAGCAATCTCGCCGCGCTACGTCGCCCTTCTCGCCGTGGAGCAATCTCGCCGCGCTACGTCGCCCTTCTCACCGTAAAGCTTCTCCTCGTAAAGCTTCTCGCCGTGAAACTTCTCGCCGCCGTTCCCGCCCTTCCCATCGTAAATCTTCTCGTCGTAAAGCGTCGCCGAAGGACGGTTCTTCTGCGTCAGCGGGGTCGTCATCCTTCTACCCTGCACGTCTGCGTTGTCGTCTTCTGCCCTGCCGTTGAGGATTCTTCCCCGTCGTCGCCGCGCCGCAGCACATCGCTGGGAGATAGGAACGGTGGGCGGCGAAGCGCTTCCAAGTGTTGAAAGGAGGGGCAAAAGGTTGTCACCACAGATCCGCGGCCAGCATGTCGACGCGAGGGAGCGCCCATGGCACGAAGTGCGATGCCGCAGCCGCCGTCGGGCTTGCGCAAGCGAAAGGTCGGCGCCATATCCCGAAATCGAAGAAGGTGCGCTCCAGTGAAGCGTCAGGAAACGTGCCTGCTCGTGGTTCCGAAGGTTGGGCGGCCGCAGCGGAAATGGAGTCTGACGACGACTTCGGGATGGAGGAACCGCAGGCGGAGGCGACGGCATTGGCGGTGCGACAAAGCGCTCGCCAGCGAGCTTCTGATCACAGTGCGTCAAAGAGTATGCTCTCCCCTGCACCCGAGGCGCAGCAGGCGCGTGGCCGCGATGCACGGAAAGACAAGGCTGCCGTCGTCGTGGCGGAAGGCGATGATGACGAGACGTTGGAAAGACGTCGCCAGCGCAATCTTGCACAAGATTCCGCAGCCCTGTTGATGACTACACGCCTCCCGGAAAAGGAAGTCGTGCCAGAGCGGCACGCAATCGAGGGCGAGGCGGCAGGTGCTGCGGGCGGGACCGCCACATTGAACTCGGCCCCCGTGGCGACGGCGAGAGAGGAGGCAGCAGCTGCGGCGACGGCGAGAGAGGACGCGCGTGGCGAGAAGACAACCGATCGGGAGGGCGGCGATGTTGGTCCGAGCCGGGTGCGCAAGGAAACCATGAGCAGAGAGCTCATCGATCGCGCCCTGCTCTGGGTGGATGACAAAGCGTTTTGGACGACGAGGGAGGGGCGGAGATTGTACAACATCATCCACGAGACGTGGGCGGCCATCATCCACGAGACGTCGCCATCGCCAGCGGCCTTCCAGCGACTGCCGTCTCTCGCAGCGTCATCCTGCCGAAGTCGAGCACCAGGGTAGCCAGGATCTCCGACCCATCGCAGCTGCAACAAGCGATCTCCCGTGCGGCGAAAGTGGCGAACGTGGCTTTGCGCGTCCAGCACGGTTGGGTTTTCAAGTCCGGCAACCGCGCAAGGGGGTACAACCTGGCTTACCAGTACGCACTGGAGTCCGTAGCGACGGACATCGCACGTGCTATGTGGTACGCCGAGGACTGGTCCAACGTCGTCAGCGTGCCCATCTGCGGCCACACGATAGATCTCAACATGGACTTGCCACTGTGGTTCGCCGACGCCCATATCGACGACAGACCCGACGACGACGACATGGCGGCGTACCAGGAGTCGACCGTCATCTGCATCGCCCAAGCATTCCGCGCGGCGGTGCAGATGGGAGCGCATATTGACGGCGATTTCATCTCCTACGACCGTCTTTGTCGGGTGGCTGACTGCTTCAGACTTCTGTTGGTGGCGGCAATGTGGATAATGCGCATGGCGGGAGACGACTTCCGCAACCACTACGAGGCGTTCTACTCCGTCAACTTGCTGGCCAGGCCTACACTGGTCGCGTCCATGCATCGCTCCTTCGACCATAGACGATCCGTCGTCCGCGCCGCGAAAGCCGTCACCGAGAGGCTTGGGAAGGCGAACCCCACGTTTGGCGAGCACCCCAACTACATCCCTCAATGGGCACCCTGCGGCATTACTTTCGGCCAAGACCCCAGCGTAACGGGTCCGGAGGATTGCAAGAGGCTTGATTGGTTGGGTTTGGGCCCCCCCGATGACGACGGCGACGACGACAAGAAAGAAGGCGCGTAGGGGGTGGGGCGGCGGTTGTTATAGTCCTCGAACATGTCCACGTGGCACATCGACATGAGGGGCTTCACCGCGGTTGGACCGTTGCGTAGAGAGAGAGAGAGAGAGAGAGAGAGAGAGAGAGAGAGAGAGAGAGAAGCCAAACAGGGCTGTTGAGAGTGGTTGCGCAGGTGGAAGTGGCTGGGCCTCATGGGCGTCGCATGGAACTGGGACGGTGCGTGCTGTGCGGTTGTTTAGTGCGGGGGTAGGGGGGATTCCCCCGGAGCCTCGTCGGTGGCGGAGTTGTATAGTGTGTTGGCCGTGGCACGGCAACGGGTTCACTGGACTCGATCGTGCATGTGAAGGTTAGTGTAGGTGTTTAGCTTGTCTATCGTTGTAGCCGATGACGGCTTCATTACTTCGAAACGTGTTTTGTGTTTCTATCATCGCAGTTACCTGCGGAAGAACTTCATAGCGCTTGCAGCGCACACTTTTTATCCTGTGACGTGTCCCTTCTTCTCGTGTCTTTGGCGGATTGATTGCACGATGACCCCAAACCCCCCCCCCCCCCCCTGTGTGCAACTGATTGAAAGACAATCGCCCCCCCTCGCTGGATTGGATGAAGTTCACCATACTTTGTTCGTGTGTTTTTGTTTGGAAGGTCATGTATTGCAGGTGTTGATTATGATTTAAAAAAACGATTTGTTTTCTGTCCTTCCTGTTATGCACATTGGGCACAGCACACGGGTCACACACACGTCGAATGTCGCATAAGCGGAATGTTTGCGCACCTTCAACATAACTCCCCAGCACGCGACCAGAGAGCCATTCATGACATCAGGAGTGAAGACAAACAGCAAAAACAAAAACAAAAAAAAAAACAAAAAAAAAAACAAAAAAAAAAACAAAAGGAAAGATGGACAGCGCTGCCAAACGAAACATTCCATGAACCACGACGAATGTCCAAAAGGTGGCGAACGCCGTTGAAGACAAGAAAAATGGAACAAAACGAAAAAGAAAATGAGCGAAGAGAAAAAAAAAAAAAAAGGTTATTCCAATTTCAAAGCTTCGCACAACCGTGCGAGCCACCAAAATCTGTCTTCACGACGACACCTAGAAAAAATAACTCAACGGCGACAACAAAGCCGCCACTACATCTACCCAGTGCATGCGCAGACGACGACGAAGGACACGGAGCACGCCMCACTMCCMCCCGCCTGCCGATCGGACCATGCCATCTCTCTCTCTCTCTCTCTCTCTCTCTCTCTCTCTCTCTCTCTCTCTCTCTCTCCGCGAGGGCCTACATCAAAGCCAGACGGTCGCGAAGCGCGTTCCGCAACAACTCCTCCTCGACATTGGAGCTCTGTGGCCGCCCGCCTCCGCCGGCCCCGACAATGCCCAAGTCCACTCTGCGGAGAGTGCAGGCGGCGACGAATTGCTGTGGCAATGTTTCCAGGTTCGTCTTGTGGGTGCGCAAGAACAGACGCCACATGCACTTCAGTCGGCCGAACGCCCTCTCCACACACCCCCGCGCCACCTTCTGCCCGTTGTCGAAGCGCTCCTCATCAGGACCTTGGTCTATTCCTCCATACGGCTGCACGATCCATGGACAGGCAACAGGATAACCGTTGTCGCCCAGCAGGTATCCTCGCGTGACGACACCGTGCGGCAGATTCTCTGGAGCTGCGTCGAAGAGCTCGCCAGTCTGCGCGCGCCTCCAGAGCTGGGAATTGTGCAGGACGTGGACGTCGTGCACACTCCCCGGGTATCCGACGTGGACGTCTAGGATCCGGAGATCCAAATCCACGACGACCTGCACTTGCACGGAGAACTTGTGGTTGCGGTCGTCGTAGTTGGCAGAAGGTGCGTCGGCGGGCTTTGTCGATGTAGATGTGTGTGCCGTCGATGGCGCCGAAGCAGTTCAGGAATCCCTTGTCACGGAAAGCGCGGAGAATCTGCGCACGTCTGCGGCCCACTGGCCACTTGATGGCGTCGGGGTACGCCCGCAGCAGCGCCGAAGTGACGTCGCGGACGGCCTGCAGTCCAGCGGCCCTGCCGATGCCGAAAGCTGAAGTGCCACTCTCGTACGTCTCCCCGGACGCCCACTTGTACAACGCGAAAGCGATAACCTGCTCCGCTGGCAATGGCGTCCTGTAGTGCGTGACCTTCTTCTCCACGAACGCGGCGAGAGCGGCTACGATCTGCTTGAACATGGCCATCAACATGCGCAACTTTTGGCGGTAGTACTAGTCCGTGGCGTCATCGCTTTGCCGGAGGTCCTCCCATGTTCCGCCAGTACCTCGTTTGATCCACCATCGCGGGGTCTGCCGGGGGAAAACGCCAGACGACAGCACGGCACACAACTGGACCACTGCCTCACACGTCGCCACGCAATCCGCTGCTTCGACAACACTCTGCAACAGCGCTCGTCGTTCACGGAGCTGCTTCGCCACGTCTCGTGACGACGATGACATCTCGTTCATCGTCTTCAGGACGACGGTAGACACCGCCATCGCCACCGCCTCCATCTCTTCTGCCCGCAGACCGTGGCCGCAGCCTCCGCCATCCATCTCCGCAAATCGCTTACCCGCCACACCTTCGCTCCTGCCGCAACTGCCCAAGACACGCCCGCTGCTCAGCGTTGCCACTGGACACCACACACACTGTGTGACCCGCAGACGTCCCGCAGCTGTGCACTACCTCAGGAAATGGAACAAGCGCGATGCCGAAGACGCGCCCGCTGCTCTACGCTTCCACAGCGAAGGCGACGGCACGTCCGAAGATGCGCCGAGCAAGAAGACGCGCCGCGCGCCTCACAATTCCCGCGTACAGCAAAGCTGTTTACCCACGGTGAAGGGGCCGCCACCGCCGTGTCTTGTACGTCACACGCGTCGCCTTGCCGTCCTCCAGCCCGCCAGCCTGCGTCCGCCAAAATTCAAATTTCAAATTTTGAAGGTCTCGGCAACCGCGCGCTTCACCAACCTGTCGGCAGCCGCCTAAGCCCCACCGCAGTGTGGACCACGGACACCAGCGTGGACAGGGCGGACATCCGCGACGCGGCTGCGTATACGTGTATGAAAACGGGCCGCGGGAAACCTTTTAGGACGATTCCTAAAAGACGATTTTTAGGATTGCGTGTAACGACGCCGCGCGAAATCCTAAAAAACTTTTAGGACTCGTCCTAAATCTTTTAGGATTCTTTTAGGAGTGTCTAACGAGACCCTTAATTGAGATCGGATTTTGAAATTCTTGAAATAACTTAATACAAAAAAATAATTTTTTTATTAAATTTGAATGAATTTGTGGTTAATGAATTTGTGGTTATTTGAATGAATTGAAAGGAAAATGAGCAATAGCGAAATTCAGAAACCAAGCCGCATCATACACATGAAACCAGATAGTCTTGACCTTAAACCAAAAGCAGAATTGCAACTCGAGTTACACCAAATAAGAGCACAGCAAAGCTCACAAATGACAATGTTGGAATAGTCCATGTCAATTCCCTATCTGGCGCTCAGCGCCCAGACTACAAATGGCAGATCCTATCTAGCCTATCTACAACGCCGCTGGTGACGTCAACAGCTTCCCGAAGTACGAGCAGATCTTGGTCAATGTCGTTGGCATCAAGCACCAGGCATGTCCCTCGCTTCACTCACACCTTCCATCCTCCACACAGATGCCACATGCACCCGAAGACCACCATGTGCACCATCCAGCAATGCGCAGGCCAGCTCGGCTATGGCTGCCTGCTTCTTCCCTGCTTGCCCGTGAGCACGTAGGCACTCGCTTCAGCAGCTGGTGCAGCGAGCGCCCGAATGTCTGGCCAGCAGCCAGGCCCTTTTCTTTATGGAAAGTGGCTGCCAGTCGTGGGCTGCCTGGCTGGCCTGGGCCTCCCCACAGAAGCTTCCAGTAGGCCCCAAGTGGCTAAGCACCTGTCCCAGGGAATCTTCCACAGGGGCTGGGGTGGTTACCCGTGTCCAACTGCCAGCGGCCTGTGTTCAGTTCATGCCCCGTGTCTGGCCCAGAGCCTGCCTCAGATACATTTGGAAAAAGGCAGGCAGGACCTGGGCTCACTCAACCAACTGCCTGAGTTTCCCCAGCTGCGTTAAAACACAAATAGGCCTCTCATCACTTGTCAGGCCCACCTTCACTTAGGGCAGCCGTAGGGCTTACCGAGGCCTTTAGCCTTGCATTCCCTCCTCCGTACTTCCATAGTCCTCTGAGAAGTTCATTGAATCTGGCGCTTTCCTTTCTGCAGCAACTTCTCACAGTGAGCGACAACCTGTGGAGCGGTCTGCATCAGTTCCTCCCTTGCAAACCATCTGTCCTCTTTTGGATCAGCGTGACGTCTGAACCGAACGCAATACTGCAGCTTCGGCTTCGGAGGTCGGCCCCTGCCTGTTGGTCTTCGAACCGGCATTTCCCTGTGGTCAACGTGGTCGTCGATGTCGACCTCTCCATCCATGGTTGGGGGCAGCATTGATCGACAAGCGGGAAAGTGGTCAGTTTCCTTGAAAGGTGCGAGTTTGGAGGTGTGAAAGACACGACATATGCGAAGGTGACCAGGGATTTGCAGGACATAGGAAGGCCCATCGGGATCATCTCCGACCGCATCTGAAACCTCCCATGGTCCGAAATACTAGGGCATGAGCTTACAAGAGATTTTGTGCTCTTGCCCAAAGGTCAGGCGACTTCACCCAGACTATACCCCCAACCTGAAAAGCAAACGGGCGGCGGC